CACACACACACACACACACACACACACACACACACACACACACACACACAATCCAATTGAATGCTGAAAAAAGATTTAGGATCTTTGCTCAAATCAATCATTTGTTTGCAGAGAAATGAGAAAAGGGGGCTTAAAGAAAAAAAATTAAAAAGAAAATGGAATGGCATTGGGTTGGGGGTGGGGGGTGGGGGTGATTCAGCTTGAATCCCATGATCAAAGGCAGCCCAATCAGTCCAAAACCGGCAGCCCCGATCTGCAGCTCAGATCATCGCTTAACCTTCAGCAAAATCTGCTCCGACGTTTACCGGGACGGACTCGATGCTCGCACCGAGACATGAGGAGGCGCGGTGGAATTCATGTGCCGACACAAACACGTGATGACCAAAACAACCAAACTACCAACAGGGGAAAAAAATAAAATGCTTGGATTCAGCAACATGGCAGTACAATCCTAAGACACGCACTGCTAAACTTGCAGACAACAAATCTGTCAGAAATAGCAAAACACAGGAGGTGGTATTTGTACACGAGTTTACCTGCTGCTAGTGAACGTGCACGTTATAGTAGAAATAGAAACAGAGACATTATAGAAAGGAACAGTACTGTATTAGTTTAAAAAGCTAGCAACGTAACAGGCAGTGGTCTCCTTTAAGGCCCTGTCACACTATAATGCTTTAAACAACTTGTGAAAATTTTAAAGACATTTACTGTGAATACAGAATAATAAAAAAAAACCAACTGGAGACCTTTTTTTAAGATGGGTACACACTGTAATGATAACAAATTGACCAAATATATGACTTGTATTAGTAACTTAGACTGAATAATAATTTATTAAGTTGGCATAAGTTGTCTAAAACATTATAGTGTGACAGGGCCGAACTTCTGAAAGATGTAGGAATATGTTTAAATAATTATTAAATCATTCTTGTTAGGCAGTTCAAAGAAAACAATACTTTATCATTTGTGTTCTATTGGGTGAAATAAATAAATAAATAAATAAATAAATAAATAAATAAATAATAAACTGTTTGTTCTACAGTTATAAGATGACAGAAAAGAGGAACATGACAAAAGGTTGAAAACAGCCTAAATCTGAACAACCAGAAAAGCTTGCTGAAAAACCGTCTGGTCGTCTTAGTGTTTTTGACCTTTTCCCAGTAAAATAAATAGCAGCCAACAGATTTCTAAACCACAAGCTGCAGAAACAGTTGTGGGTATTTAAACCTCGAGTTGAAGCACAAAACCAACAAAACCCCAAATGGCTGCAGACAAGAGCCAAACTCCACTGAATCCCTGGGTAAGACCCAGAGTGTAGCGGCTCAGCCGTGCCAAGTGGCCTTGAGCTTTTCAGGAATCCTCATTGATGAGGACAGAGCGCCCGACTCGCTGCTCTCCAGGAAACAAACAGACTCCACCGAGCAGCTCCAGCAGCTCTCAGCTCGCACAGCCGTCCACCTCCACAGGGCCACGATGACCCGCTGCACTCACCTCTGTTCGTCAGCTTTTTTGTGTTGATGATTTTGGCAGCATACTCCTGGCCCGTGGACTTCTTTACGCATCGGCGTACAACGGAGAAGGCGCCCCTGGAGCAGGAAGTGATTGACAACAGATCAGAGAGAACCACTTGGAGCATTTGACCTTTGAACTTGCCACACTGAAGACATGCATGAGTCACATTCAGCTGAAGAGAGGGCGAACAAAGTCACATGCATTAATATAAATAATCTGAGGCAGGTCCTGACTACTGGTGCGTGACAGGAAGGACAGAGAGGGTATGATGTAAAAAAATATATAAAAAATAAATAAATAAAAAAATGTGCATTATTTGCACTGACGCCTCCTTTTAACTCCTGCTGTCGTCTGTGCTGGAACAGCTTTATTAGCACAGATAGGATGTTACAAAGTAGATTTGCAGCCAGGATAGTTGCACTGTTGCCCAGGCGTCCTTTTCACGCTGAAATTTGCAGACACCTCAATCTTGTTGCAGCAAAACATTATATTGTTTATTTTTGTTTGGCGGCGCATTCTAAAATGCACCAAAAAAATAAAAATAAATAACAGAGCTGAGCACGACGGTGGAGGTGGATCGACGAGATTTCAGAGGTGTGCAAACATGCATACTCTTGGTGTATAGGTGGATGCTGCTCACCTTTAAAATTAAAGAGCAGCAAATGGCGCGGTGCACCTTTAAAATCCACCCACGGATTAAACCCAAGCCTCCGCAGAGCTAACCTGAGCCCGCTGACAGCTCACTGTTGCACAGGAGGCTGCCGAGCTTTGTTTTCTCTTGTTGTTTGTTTGTTTTCTGACCGCCACACATCTGCCTTGTCAACACTTGGAAGTAAACGCACACAATGGCAGCAGAGGGTGGGTGGGGGGGGGGGGGGGGGACATGCACAAACACACGCGCGCGAACACACAAACACACGAGCAGGCTTGAATGCAACAAGAGAAGCAGCAGCGGAGGTTGTGCTGCTGTGTTGACGGACGCTTACTTTCCGAGTTCCTCGTACAGCTGATACTCGTCGGTGAATCTGGTCGAGGTTACAAGTGTGGCCATGTTGACTGGAGTGACGGGAAGAGGGGGGGAACCGCCTCGCGCTTCGGTGGCCGTCGCCTCGCGCGCGCTTCCGAGAGAGGGGAAGAGAGAGGCGCTCGAGCTCAGAGAGTGGAGCATGGAGTAGCAGGGGGAGGAGGGAGCAGATAGCAGTAGTAACGAAGATCCTTTTATAAAAGATGCATCACTCCGGATGAGGAAAAAAGGACATTTATGTTGCGACGTTGCTTGTTCAAACCAGAAATTTTAGCAGAGGAAGACCTCTTTCTTCCATCTCCTTTTCAGCAGTGGTGGCGGAGGGATGTAAAACCATGCAAAGATCTTCTACAGTCTACTGACTGAGGTTCAGTTTTATAATTTCGTCGTCAGTTTATGTGCTTAAAGTTCATTTTATTGTGAAGTTCCCCCAGATGTTCCCTACAGATGTGATGGCAAATCTGATATATATTTAATAAAATATTTTCAACAGACTCCTGGACTCAATCATAGTTTTTTTGATTTTATATTAATTTCTTTAAAAAAAAAACTCCCACATTTGTTTAGGAGCTAAAGTTCACTAAATTTAATTTTATTTTATTTTATTTTATTTTATTTTACATGACAATTCAAAATTACACCCAAAGGAACATTTTAGCTATTTTAAAGTCAGTGATGTTTTGACAAATGAATTATTAATAAGTACCTAATTTATCTTATTTATATAAAATTTTATACCTAAAAAAAGTCCCAGTATCATCTTCATTTATATAATTAATGAGAGATGTGTTGTTTTGTATCCGCTTCATGACAAAGAAGAGTTTGAAAAGCTCCGGCAAAAAGATATTTTGACTTATACTTAATTAAAATAGTTGTGGTGAAACCAGGTGGTTCTGAGTGTACAACAATGTGCAACCTCCTGAAACAGCAACAAGCTGGAACAGGAAACTCAAAGACCTGCAGAGCAGAGAGGATCCACAAAGAAAAAAAAAAGTGGCACTTCTTTATCAAATACAAGATCTGAACTTAAACCAGAGATTGCATTTCCTCAAACATAAATGCTTCTTGCTGAAAAAAAAAATAAGTGGAAAGCTACTGAAAATGTTTAATAGCAAAAGTGGTAATGTTAGTTCAATTTGAAAAGCTGAAAGAAGCAAAAAGAGCTTAACTTTGTAGAAAAGCAGTAAAAATATGCAGAAATTTTGCTGAAATAGCTTATAAAAGCTAAAGGTTAAAAGCTAAAATAGCTGAAGAAAGCATTTTAAAAAAATTAAACTGGCATAAAATAAGCTAAAGGTAGCAGCCACAAGTTGAAATTAGCACCCAGATTTTAAAAATGGTGTAGAAAGTTTAAAAAGTGACAATTTGTAGTAAAATAGCTAAAACAGCCAAAATTTTCTGTAAAAAAAGTTGCAATAAAATTTGCATAAGGAAGCATAAGGAGCACAAGTTTGCTGAATCTAGCAGAATTAAGTTGTAATAGCTACAAAAAATGTGCATGTAGCTTCAAAAAGCTAACTTTAGCCAATAACAGCTGAACATTAGCTAAAATTGCAGCAAATAGACGAACATAGAAGAAAGCCTATGTAAGAAGTGTGAAGAGCACAAATTAGCAGAAAAAGCACAAAACATGAAGCTGAAGAATAGCAGAAAGAAGCAGAATTATAGCTAAATAGCAGAAAAAAGCTAAAATTAGCATAAAATATGCCAAATGCAGCAGCCACAAGTTGAACACCCAGATAGTGAAAGTGTTGTAAAACAATTAAAAAGTAGCAGAAAAAAGGCATAAAAGTAAAAAAGGGACAAATTCTATGTGGAAGTGTTGAAATAGCACAAATTGTGGAATGAGAAATGTACGGAATATTGAAAGTAACAATAAACTAATAAAGCGAAACATGAAAACAGTGTGAATGCGATGAAGCATTGACACAATTATTACCAGAATAACAGCAAAACAGTAGGTAAAAGCTAAAAGTAGCAAAATACCTAAAAGCTAAAGTTTGAAAAAAAAGTAGTAAAAAAAGACACAAACGGTGTTTTGAAGGAGAACTTCTCTTTATTTTCTGTGTATATTTTTTCAATAATATTAAATTAGCTGTCACATTTTGTTTCTGGGCTGTATGTGAATGCATGTAAATTGGCAGTGAGATTTAACTGCACAAGGAGCACCACCTGATAGCTTGATTAGGGCGCCAAATTGACTCGGGTCGGCCCTGTGTGAACATAAGAAAAATAATTTAACCCAGTTGCTCCACTCTTTAAATATGAGATTACAATGTGTGCATGTTTAGAATGTGAAATTAAAAACATGTGGCTCCTCTTCCTCCATGGTTTTTCCTTCATGCTTTGCCTCTGAACTGAGCATTTGGAGAACATTGCCAGCGATTAATGAGTATTTGGAGCAGGAGCGGGAACAGTGCGACCAGTTTGTGCCTTAATTACAGTGAGCTCCTCTGATATGAAAGACTAATTAGCGGGGCTGCAGAGGTACTGTAGTGTTAATTGCTGAATAGCTGTGTTTCTCTGTGATGTGCATGTCAGACGAGTCATGGAGGGGCTGTGCTGGGACAGGTTGAAGGGTGGGAGGCTGTTCAGTTTAAGGCAGCACCCTCAGACATTTTTTTAAATGTTTATGACCCTCAAAATAAAGTTGTTAAACAAAGCAGTTGTCCCTCAAAAAATTTGCAGCACTGAAAAAATAAATCAGAGGAAAAAAAGTCTCATCCTCTCAATCTTAATTTTTGTCCTGGCAAGTAGCTGGTTTTCATGAACCTTACTTAATCAGAGTATGTTTTCTAAATTTTCAAATGATTTCTTGGGAGTTTCCTAATAGTAATGTTTGTCATTTCAAAATCTGAAAACAGAAGTTCTTTTTTGTTTTAGTGCCTTGGACCAAAGCTGATCAAATTAAAGGCTTAACACTCTTTGAAGAATTGCATAATGCCTGTGCCTTTAATGCCAGAGTTTTAGACAGAGATCGTCTTACCTTCAGACAGGAGCTGCTTCGGTCAAACCTTGAAAATAACGTTTTGCAATCAATATCCCTGTGAGACGTCAAGCACAAAGTACATGTTGTGAATGACTCTTAGCTTTTAGATCAAATTTTATCACAATAGCTTTAAAAACGGACTGACTTTTAGTCATTTGGTACAGCCACATCATGTTTTAGTTCAGTTTCTGGACAGTTGACTGATTGATTATCCATTTCAGGCTTTGTAAGATTAGTTGGCTGTGGTGGCTGTCTTGACTTGGGTTAGCTCCAAAAGCTAATGCAAAACCAGGAATTAATCCCCAGAAGTTTTATTGTAATCTGTCGAGTGGTTTGTAAGATATTTGGCTAACACACAGGACAGAGTCCAAACAGTGAATAGCAAAAATTCATAGAAAGATCCTGTGAGATGTGTTAGTGCTCACATGGGTCAGGGAGCTATCTCAGGTACTAGCACACCAAAATTTAGCTCAATATCTTTAATTAACGGAGTTATGGTCAGTTTGTGTTGGTTAATGTTGATCAGCTGTGACAGCATTCCAAAAGTTAAATCAATCGCAGAAACACATTCGATGATTATTTTCCGCAATTTTCCATTAAAATCTGTATTGTTATTTATGAGACATTTCACCAATAGACAGTCACACAATCTTACAGAGACAAAACATCATTGTACTCCATTACCTTTAGAGCAATGGGCAATAAGAAAGTCACAAAATAACTGTTTATCAAAACTCAAAGTTAACACGATTACAAACCTTTGAAAAGCTTCTGATCAGTTATCCCCTGAAACTAACATGCATTTATGAAGTCACGGTATATAGTAACGTGACAGCATGAGGTGTTAAAGTCGTCATTCAGGTTTTTTTTTTTTGTCTCAGTTCCACTAACCTCACATTACTGTAAAGCCAAAGTTGTGGAGCTTCAGAGGCCGAAGGCAAGTGAGTCATTCAGTAAGAATGTTTTCAGCTTGGCTCATGGCTGCTCCGTGGATCTCTCCTCCCTCGTCTGCAACATCACAAGTCTTTCATGGTGTTTTAGACGTTTTATGTGTTGACAAACACCCTGGAGTCGTACCTTCCTGTCTGCCGCTGAGCCGCTCAGAGAATGCTCACCAACAGCCTGTTAGTTAATCTCTCAACCTTTACAGCCACCTTGGGATCGTTCTGTCACGGACAGTGCATTAAACCAAATCTATTACTTTCCTTTTTCAATTACCACATCGTCACATTGTCCCTCGTAAGGTTTAAACAGCACATTGGGGTGACTTCAATTCTTAATGCATGGCAGATTGTGGTGCCAGGAGCTCTTTTTAACGTGTCCCATTCAAATCGTGACATCACCCCTGAATAAGAGCCCAGAAGGTACTGTTCACTTTCAATAAAAATATACAGAACACAGAAACAAGAAACGAACATTTTTTTTTAGAAAAAAAAGGAATCATGAGTCAGTTTTATTTAACTTCAGCAACAAGTTTCAAGCTTCACATTTACCTGAGTATTACCAGCAGAGACGACGCCTTCCTCCACAAGTGTGTGTGTTTGCATGCAGCATGTGTGTGTCATGACACCTCCTGCACGATGACAATGTTGTACTTCTGCAGGCCAACAGGGAACCAAGTATGTGGGCATCTGCTCATTATTTTCACCTAATCAAAATCGCCCTTTGAAATTCAGAAGTGTTTATGCTTTGGCATAGATTTCACAAAATGTGGCATTTTACTGGTCGAAAACGTAGCGTAGCAACGTCCAGCTGTGAAAGTGGCGTTCCTGGAAAGAATGGACATTGCCCTCTGTGCACACAAAAGAGATGCAAATACTGTAAACTAAAAGTTTGGACTTTAAGACAAAATTCTATGTATTGAAGTCATGTCCTTGAAATGACAACAAATGTTTAATTTATGCAAATCCTCTGATAATAAAAGGTTTTGTCAAAGAATTCCAATGAGCCAATAGGAAAAAAGTTAATCGACTTTTGATTGTCAAATGTTGGGTATAATGTTCTATTAAATTTTAAAGTTTTTTTTTTTACTGTGCTCCATTGTTTTTCACCAAAGCTTTGTGGACAGGGGATAAAATAACCCCACCTTTTGGTTCTAAAAATATTGAAATAATGACACTTCTAGTAGTAAATACAAAATCTCTA